TTCTGGTGGAACCGACCTTCGAATCTCTTCACGCAACACTTTCACTCGAAATGGAAGTAAGCTCAACAACAGAGGACACAACCAACAGACTATCGGAGGCGTCTTTCTAGATAAACCGGTTGGTCTGGCGAAAACAGGGTCATACCAAACCGTCTGTAACCACGACCAGCATCGTTCTGACTGGCCTTCGAGGCGGAGTGCATGTGAATATTCAAAGACCTGGTCCCCAGATCTGCTTCGCCATAACTCCCTTGCCGGATCGCTGTTCTTCCGTTTCTCCGTCGCCTGCTCAGTCGGTGTACCTCCAGGCTCGAAGTTTAGAACAAGTCTGGGTTTCGACATAAATTAGGATGTTACTATTCAACCAAATGTCGACTAATTAGTCGGAGACAGGGCAATTTAACCAAAATGGCTGATAACGGTAGGAGAGATGGCGATTTTCTCTGGCCTGTTGACATAACTAGGACAGGGTACAGGGCCAAAGCTAATGTGAAATTGGCTGTTTCTGAAAGCGATTGCTTAGTCATCTTTGCTCTCTCCATTCTGCCCTCGTCTCCTTTTCACTCTCCCTCTCCCCCACCCTCCACACACACACGCATAGTCACTCATGTTAAAGCTATCTGTGGGCCCTTGAGGCTGAAGCCTCAGCAATTTTCAATCTAAAATAAACAGGCTATAAACCAGAAATACACCGAGTTGTAGTTCTGAAAAGCCATTTGACCTGGCACAAGGACACGTTCGCGCACAGGGTTGATTACACACTCACACATACACACACACACATGCACACACAAACACACACAAACGTACACAGGCAAATCCAGATGCAAAAATGTGCTGCACGTTTAGTCTGAAATGAGCTCTTTTGCTGACAGCTAATCGGACTGCTCATCTACACGACAAGGTCTAAATGTAACCCGAAAATAGTGAATAAACCAAAGGGAGGTCTCATCAAGAGTGAGAGAATGAGATGGCGAATAGGATCGGCAAAAACGGTTGAGACAGAAAGGTAGATAGAGAGAACAGGGATAATGAACCATCCTTGGATTGGCTGTTTTGCATATCACTCGCGTTATCAACCAGATCGAACCGAGCACCAGATTCGTGTGTGCACGTACAGCATATGCATTGTGTTTAATCCGGGCTGGGTGGTATCTGTCCGAAATCAGACGAATTGGAGACTCGGTGTCGTGGGATTTCTGCCTGGCCGGGTCATGCAGAGTGGGCGGGTCAGCGCTAAGCCCCACCGCGATGTGGCTAAGGCGTCAACGCCAACATGGCCTACTCTCGGTGGATATCATAGGCTGTGTGAAGTCGGAATGATGTGGCTTTGCGGTGTGAGGACAAGGCTGTACGACTGTTCTGAACGAACCCCCTCCTACAGGACGGGGCAGTTGGTCGGATGGGACCAGAAACTTTCTGGATTAGCGCGCATTCGACATTCAACCAAGACCTGTAGGCAGCTGCTCGTTCCAAACGGAACGTCTATCACAGACACTGGCCATTGCAGGAGAGCGACAGTGTCGAACCGGATAGCAAAATGTACATTTCATATCTGATTTCGCCTTCATTCTCTCTCTCTCTCACACACACACACACACAAATATGTGTTTGCGCACTTTGAGCATAGGCAGTGGGAAAATGTGCGACTTCTTATTTAGGTTGAGTTACATGAGTCTCCTCCGTATTCACTCGCTTTAGACTGATTATATTCTATCTTTCGAATAAAGTATTGTTTTCGTGACTACCAGTAAATCAGTAGTATGAGATGTATTCACCCAATTTCGTTGTGGGAAAATTCTTCTTCTAACAGTCCTTCATCACCTTAAACGAAATTATGTGAATACATCTCATATTACTGGTTATATTCTGTCAATGAATAGCCTATGGGCGAAAAAGGGCAAGCCCATGTATGGACAATGAATGACGATGACACAGTGACAGTTGTGACATGACTTTGCATTTTGAAGGAAAAGTTGGTTGGAGTGATTTCGTGATGTGTGGTCTCACCGGAAACCGAAGGAGGATTGTCGCGTAAGGAAGACTGTTGAATTTGGCGAAAAAGTCCTACGAGCCCGATGAAACTGTGCTAAGCTTTCTTCTGTACCGCTATGACAGAGCAGGTATCCATACTTCACGAAAAAGAGCAAAAATATATACCAAATCAAGAGAAATTGTGGGCTGTTGTAGCCATATTCGCTTATTTACACGCCTAACTTCGCGATCTTAATGAGGCATACCTGGTCTGATGATGTCTGTCATAATCGTACAGACGAAAGGTTGGCACAGTTTCATCGTGGTCGCAGGACGGTGAGCCGAGGACTTCTTCGGACAATTCAACAGTCTTCCTTACGCAACAATCCTCTTTCGGTTTCCGGTAAGACCGCATTACGAATACTTTCCAACCAACTTTTCCCTTTAAACGGAAATTCATCTCACAATACAGCACTAAGGAATTCTTTGAAACCCAGTTTTCTACAAACAGTGACAGTGGCGGCCTTCTCGTCCAAAGACGTATGAACGCACTGAGTCAAAAACCGCCCTGGTCTTGAAGTCCGGACCTTTAACTTGTCCAAACTTTTTCAGCCTCTTTAGTTCCCACACGAAGCTACTTTTGGCATGCATGTCTGATCCGCTCTGTTTTTTTTCGAACGTTTTTGATCAGTTGCTGTTTGCGCGGGGCTCGAACTTGAGTCCCAAGCGATTCCGCCAGACCGAGGGCCACTGACACGCTCTCTTTCTTAGGAATGCGAGGCCCTCTGGATGTGATGGCTCCTGGAATGGATAATTTGTTGCCCCGCACGTCTGCCGATACACTTTAAAAGATCCCTAAACGAGGGAGTTAGCTTCCTAAGAAGTCTAAGACGTTGGGTTTCATCCAGGACCAAAGTCATGGCCAGTGAATATGAATTGATGAGGCTACTTTCATTTCGTATGAAAGTGCATGAAGAAGAGATTCGTGGGTCGATCTCACCAGAAGAGGACGGATGAAGCCCGTTGTACTGCAGCCATTTGGCTTTTATGCGACATTCAGGTTGACGCAGTCCACATGGCCTCCTCCCTCGTTTCGGGTAAAAATGGACTAAGCCTTCGTCCATCATTCGATGAACATCATCAGAGCTGGGTCTCATTCCTGTATAAGTCTCACGTTAATAATAGTATTGCAATGAAATGTTATGGTAACGTGAAACTTTCTCATATCCTTGTACGGCATATTCAACTATTTTTCCTTCATTATCTTATACGACCTGGGTTGACTAGAGCTCTTATTATATCTCCTCGTGCATGGAAGAGGGCCTACTCAAGGGTGTGAGAGGCTGAAAGCGACCGTTTCACTGTGCCCTGATGAGCTTCAAATCAGCGCAGCATCTCAGCTCTTTTATCATCCAAGTCTATTGACGGTTGGACCCATGAAATTGGGAGCAGTACGTTGTGCCAGCATCGAAGAACCCTCTTCCAGCGTTGTATAACCGAGAGGCCAAGTCCTTCAGGCGCTGGCATAGGCATTTATGAAGAAAAACGAGGTTTCGAAGCCTCCTCCAGTAATTTCATGCTTTCATATTCTTCATTTAGCAAGAAGAGGACGATGAGCCAAGGACTTTTTCGCACAATTGTGCAATAACAACAGCCCAAAAGCAATTCTCCCTCGGCTACCGGTGTGGCCAAGTTACGAGTATTTTTCATCAGTTTTCTCGAACCATATGAAAGCTACAACAACCCGAATTGGGCCATTCTTATTTTTGTGGTTGGGGCCAAATCGGTTCGCGAAGGATGCTTGGACCAGTTGCGACCTCGTCATATTGAAGGCATCAGTCCCTCCAACTAGGATCTCAATGAGGGATTTAGGAAGACGCCTAAACAGAACAGAAC